CCTGGCTTCAGATCAGTTCAGTGCGCCGGCCACAGCAGCTATTGGGGAGTGAATCAATGGAAAAAGGAAGACCTTTCTCTCTGTCTCTCTCTCACTGTCCACTCTGCCTGTCAAAAAAAAAAAAAAAAAAGGCAGTCTCTGCCTTTCCCCTTTTCCCACTTTCTTTTCCTTATTTTTTTCTCTCACTTCTCCAAATGTCTCCTCCCCCTGGACTCCCTTTTTTTTCCCCTATTCCTTTCCACCCACCATCTCTCCCTTCTCCTTGCAGTGACCCGGAGGAGGACAAAGGGAGTTTCCAGCCACCTTTGATTCTTACTCCTATGCATTTGAACCACCCAGTCCAGGTGGTTATCACTCATTCAATGCATGTTCCCCAGACTTTAGTAGTGCCAGATCCAGGCACATGCAGATGAGTAGAAGCAAGCATTAACCAAATACCCATACCACAGATGGAAAGCTGCAACTGGATTAGTGTAATTAAGGAGAAGGGGCTCTGTTGGGAGGAGAGTAGCAGTATTCAGCTGGCCTGGAAGTCATAACAAGTAGCTGAATCTCACAGAGGATCTACTTCTGGGTCTGACACTGCAGATGTTTGACATTGATGTCTCAATGTCTTTAAGGTTCACAGTAATCCTGGGCAGTGGGTATTGTGCTCTCAAACTCCATGCCTTGTTGCTGAGAAGTCAGCACTAGTTTGCCTGAGGAGGTGGCAACTGAGAAGAGAGCTAAGGATAAGAGCTGAATTCTCAAATGTGTAACACATGTTACTGCTCCCTCATGCCTATGTTCAGGGCAGACATCACTAATTGATTGCAGAACTCTTCTCAGATAGGGACTCAATTCAGATTCCTCAGGAAGAGCACCCCAAGAAGTCCCTACAGTTTGGTCAGGACTATTCCAAAAGTTAAAACCTATTTGTCACCCTGGGTTTTGCTAATCCTGCAGGAACAGGCAACCTAAAACTACTCTAATGTAGCTTGAAGGGCCTTCCCTATGACAGTGAGGCAGTAGCTGTTGTTTGGGCACTTACTGTATGGAGCAGTCTGCTCCTCCAACAAGATAGTTACTTGAGCTGTCTGAACCAGGTCTTCATTTTCTGGGAACGAGTGACAGGGAAGGGCCAGGGAACTGGAAGATGCGTGAACTCTGAGGGGGGGTGTTTGGGGGATGAAGGCCAGCTGTGGACCACACATCACCCAGACAACTCAAGCCACTGACTCACGGCCAGAGAAATTATGCCAAGAATGGCAGTCACGGCTGGTCCTAAACAGCAGCTTCCAAGCAGGGAATTCAAAACAGCTGTTTAAGCGCTGACCTCTATACGGAGCCCCCTCATAGCCCCTCCCTGGCCAGCTGTTGGTGGGCAGGCAGAGCCCATTTCCTGTGAAAATCCAGAACAGAGGACAACGTGAGGCGGGGTGAGGGTTGGGGGGCAAGGGGCGTGCAGCAGCTGAGACTGGTTCCACAGGGTTCACACCGCAGCCCAGTTTCACCCTCGTGTGAAGGCCCGCCATTGTTTCAGGCTCGCTCACATCGCACGTTGTCTTGTTAAAAAATATACATCTAATATGGTTATACTTGTATGAATAGATCAGTATGATGTAAGTGAGATTTAGTAACCGATAATTACTACGTGTTAGCCATCTGCTAGTCCCGAGGGTTTCACCAAACCCTTTCATAAAAGCAAAATGATACTCCACAGCCAAATTATATAACATTAACAGAATATTTTATATGCGAAATGCTGTATTTCTTTACTTTTCATTCAACTGAAAATGTACACAGTCAGTAACAAGCCATTTCAGCTGCATATTTATCCAAAACATTTCAGAAGCAAAAAAAAAAGTCAAGTGAGAAAAATAACAGTTCAGCCACATGAGGGCTAGGAAAACACATTAGAAAAGGGATCCTCATTACAATAATAAACGAGGGTCCAATTAAGGCTGCCACATGCAGGGCGGGTCCATACTTGGCAGGGAAAGCTGGTGCGCAGGAGGTTTTGCCCTTGACTTCGAGAGCGGCCCCAGCACCCTCACCGGCATTCTCAGACTCGGGCAGCCGCACCTGCCACAGACGAAGCATCAACAACTCCAGCCATTTGCAACCTTGCGTTTTGCAAAGTGCTTCTTGGGTGGAAGCAGGCATGGCTTTCTGGGAGTGCCTGGGCTCCCACATCTTTGCCCTGTTACCCTAACTCCCCAGGAACTTGCAGCGAGCAGAGGCACAAGAAGTGCTGAGACCCACGCCCCTCAGCTCAGCTATGGCCACATGAGGACGTGTTTTGACACCACTGAATCTGGGTGCAGAGGCCCTTGGATGGGAGGACACAGTGTGGCTCCTGGTGAGTGGCACTTGCTAGTGAGCCCTGGATGGGGAGGCAAGGCAAAAAGGCTCAGACCTTGCTCCCACAGACTTGGCGGGACAAAAGTGTAGTGCAGTACTCCATTGCTTACCTTCCCTAAACCTCAGTTTTCTCATCTATAAAATGGAAACCTCATATTTGCCCTCTGGGTTGTTTGAGTATTAAATGAGATTAAGTATGCCAAGTGCAATACATGGTGCCTGGCCCCAGAAGAGTCATCTAACAAATATTTTTTTATTATTATTAGGCATATGATCTAGTTGAGTAAATAAAATATAGTCATATGAAATAGGAGGGAATAACCTCCAGGTAGCAAGTGCAAAACACTTGAGTAGGAACTGACCTTGAGGTGTTCCAAAGTTTGCAGAGGGAGCAGGCCCGCAGATGGCAACTGTGGCTAAGCAGGGAAGGCTGCCTGAAAGAACTGGGTTTCATCAGACCCCAGAGAATGTGGGGTCATTCCCAAGTCCTGGCAATGGTTGGGAGGCCTCTTGGGCAGATTTCTTCCCCAGGTCCAAGTTTACCTGACACACAGAGAGAGGCTCTGACTTTGCTGCAATAGAATGGCATTGAACCTCCTTATGGGTAAACTCTACCGAATATTAGCCCTATAACCTTGGGCAGTAGCTTCACCTGGAATCTGCCTTCTTATCTGCAAAATGGTTAATGGTACTTGCCTAACAAAGCTGTTGGCTGACTAGTAGGGAAGAGACAATGTCAAGGGCCTACTCTAGTGCCTGGTGTGTGGTGAACGCATGTTACACATCCAAGCTCAGCAGCTGCTGAGTGACTCACACTGGCTTACTTCCCTCTTAAATCATGTTGGTGTGAGGAGGGGGACTCTCAGGTGAGCAGCTAGAGAGGGACTCAGAATAGAATCAGCGATGGTATTTGATCCAGCAGTGAAGATGCTGTGTGGAAACCTGATCCCCTATCGGGAGTGTCTGGGTTTAACTCCTGGCTCTACTCTCAACTCCAGCTTCCTGCTAACATGCACCTTGGGAGGTAGCAGGCAATGGCTTGAGTAATTGGATCTGTGCCACCACATGGGAGACCTGGACTCAGTTATGGTCTCCTGGCTTTGGTCTGGTCTGGCCTGGTCCCAACTGTTCTGGGTATTTGGAGAGTGAACCAGCAGATGGAAGAATGAACTCCCTGGCTCGCTCGCTCTCTCTCTTTACCTTTCTTTCATTAAAAAAATTTTTTTAAAAGATTTTATTTATTTATTTGAGAGGTAGAGTTACAGATGGAGGGAAAGACAGAGAGAAAGGTCTTCTATCTGCTGGGTCACTCTCCAAATGGCTGCAATGGCTGGAGTGAGCAGATCCGAAGCCAGGATTCAGGAGCTTCCTCCAGGTCTCCCATGCGAGTGCAAAGGACTTGGGCCATCTTCTACCGCTTTCCCAGGCCATAGTCGAGAGCTGGATAGGAAATAGAGCAGCTGGGACTTGAACTGGCACCCATATGGGACGCTGGCACTGCAGGTGGAAGCTTAGCCTACTATGCCACAGTGCCGGCCTCCTTTCACTGCTTTTCAAAGAAATAAAAATAAGTAAATCGTAAAAAATTTTTCCCAACATTGAAAAACAAAAATGGAGCCCCTAGAGCAGCTAGACTGAAAGTTGAGCATCTCAAAATGATGGAGAAAGGGGCAGGCCTGGCTCTAAGACCTATCTCTATTTAGTTATTTTTGCATAAGATTGCTCAGAGGCCCATAGAACGGCAGCCCTGAGACCCTAGAAGTCTCTGTGGACAAGTTCAGGGTTACACCAGCCTCTTGGCATGAGTAGGAAGAGCTTCATTTTGAAAGGCAAAACTTTCACCTTTTTCTCTTTGTTATTATTAACCAGGGCACAAAGTTGTTTCCTGAGCCATCTGCACCCTTCATACTGCTCTCAAGAGGTCAACGGGTCCAGAAAACAGTCTCGCAAGAGTCTCCAAACCAAAATGCCCCCGGGGCCCCTGGAGAGCTCTTGCCTGGGGCTTCTGAGATCAGCTCTCCCAGCTGTGCTTTGGTAGATTCCCCGGTGAGGGCATCCACACTGAGAGTTCTCATCTGTGAGTTCCCATCAATATTATGATTCACTGTAACTGTCATTTGTGGAGCCTCTGCTATCATCCAGTATGCAGGTAGCTTATTACATCAACTCATCAAACACCTTGCATTGGTCCTAAGAGATAGGGGCCTTTGTGATGTGCAGTTGTCAGATAAGGAAATTGAGAGCCAGAGAGGTTAAGTAACTGGCCCAAAGCCACACACACAGCCATGGCCAGACAGCAGCAGAGCTGGAACGAAGGTACAGGCCTGCCTGATTGTGACTTTTGATAGCTCTGCTCTCATGCCTCTGAGATGATGAGGCGATTGGGTGTCAGGAGTTAAAAGGGCGTGCAAGAAGGATGGATGAGAAACAAATGGAGGAGTTGTCAATGGCATCTTGGGAAAGGCAAGGGAAGCCAACTCAGCCGCCAAAGTGCACTCTCCTGGCTTGTGTGGAGAGGGCAGGAGGCCCAGGGGTCAGCCCTGGTGTGGTGGGCTTTGGCAAGGCCATCACCATGGACAGAGCCCCCATCTGCTCATCCTGTGTATTCAGGAGCCACGGGGGGGGCCAAGAAATGCGTCAACACAGGCTACCCTTACCTCAGTCTTGGCTGTCTCAAGCATCTGGATTCGTCGGGGTCTTGGGGGGCAGGGGAGAAGAACGCTATGCCAGGGGAGTTAAGCCCTGGAGACAGGAGGCAGCTGCCACTGACTGGAGAGTCAGAGAAGGGAAAGCACAAGACGTTTGGAAGGACAGATGCAGAGAATAAAACTTCTCCTGGGCAAGCGTTACCTGCAACAAAGCAAAGCAAATTTACACGCGTATTACAGAAACTGTGGGAGAGGGAAATCACAGAAAGTTTCTCGTGAACAAGGAAATTGGAAATGGAAATTGGAATCTCCCAGTACAGTGCCGATTACTATTAATTTGAACTGCATAAAATGTTATTGATAGTGCCTTGCTACTATCTCCTTTCTGCTTTATCTGAGTGATTATACAAATATCAAAAAGGCTTCCAAGGGTTCGTTCTCAGCCTCCTTGCCCCAATCCCATTTTTCCTATAACATCTTAAATTCCTTAAACTCCCACCCCCCTACCTGGGAGCCTACTGCATACGCCATGTGCTCCTGGCAGGCCACAACTATGCTTTCTTCCATCTCTGCAACCCCTACCAGGCTGAGCCTGGAATGGGCAAACAGTAAGTGCTCAATAAGTACCTGCTGTGTGATGAACACTTCTCAGCTGTCCCCCTCCCTGGTTGTGTGACAATTCTGTGACTCGTATTGAAAGGCAGCGGGAGAAGGCAGTGGGTCCAGGCTTCTGCCAGGATGGGGCTCTGAGTAAGCGCCTGCCCCAGCGTGGGGGCGCAAGCTGCAGGCTGGGGAAGAGCCTGCCAGAATTGCCTGAAATCTCTGGATTTTCCCTGGCTACCCCAGTGGGAGGTGGATGGGAGTGGGGGCGGGGGCAGCCCACCATGGCCAGGACAATGAAAATAAATAGCAAGTGTGTACGTCCCGGACCGAGCTGACCCCCTGAGAGATGCAAAGATGGCTCAGGGCCTGCCTGGGAGCCATCCCCTGGGTGCAGATCCCAAAGTTGGAGGGAAATTGAAGAGCACAACAATTTCCATTCATGAAGAAAATGAGGAGGCTGAGTATCTTTTCAGCGAGTCAGCTGTAGGCAGAGGGATTTATTTATAATATTATTATTTGGTAGAAAAGAACTTACTATGGCCAAATGTAAAAAAGTATTTTTTTTGATAAGTTAAAGAGATTAAGGAAAACCAGGCCGATTTTGACAGAGAATGGTGTGTAACCGAGAGGTGTTATCAGGGAGAATCTGGCACCCGCTCCATTTTGTGATGGTGAAAAATATCAGTATTATTTACTAAGAAGATTAGGGTTGAATTGGAAGAGAGGCTGGTTGTTGTGTGCAGATGGAGATAAGATAAGGATTTTACCTTCTCTGCAGAACCAAATGCAGCGCACACAGGGCCCTTATCTCAGGGCAGGCAAGCAGGGGATATTAAGACGTACGTTGTAATTACCGGTGGCAGGAGCAAATTTCATAGCGACTATTTTAAACCCTAATAAAACACCGGCCTTTAATTATACAGCTTTGAAATATTTTTCTCAGTTAATTGCAACGGGGGAAAATAAAATCAACCTCATATTTGAAACTGATTCTCACAGGGAAAGCCCTCGGCCTGGCGCTCCGGCTGCCTCTGAGCACGGTGCTGCTGGATGTGGGGCGGCCTTGGTTCTGAGTTTGCATGGCCCCTTCAGGTGCCTTCCCTCACTGCCACTCCCAGCCTTGTGTGGGGGAGGAGGAAGAAGAAGGAAAGAGGCCCACCCCCTTACCCGGGGGGGGGGGGGCACATGTACATCCTGCTGGGACGGACCATGACTTCTAGATCTGGAGGCAGGTGGGACACAGGACGGGTGTGGGGGGCAAGGAGCACTCCAGGGAGGGGATGCTCCTCTTCTGAAGAGCCCCAAGGGCACCGACCTGTGGTCCCTGTGACCCCAGCACCCCCAAAGGCACATGAGGCTTTGATCCCTGTCCCTAGCCTGTGTCCTGTCCACAGCTCCTAGACTCAGTCTTGGGCCTTTAACCCTTCCATCTCCATACGTTAAGGGAAAGAGAAAATGACAATAGCATGTGGTACTGGCCGCCACAGCTCCTGCATGCCAGGCGCTGTCCTCAGCATCTTCGATGCTCTCTCCCACAGAAGTGGCCCTGCAGCTCTGAGAGACAGGTCCTGGCTCACACAGGTGAGGGAGCCTGCCCAGGACCACACCGGGGGTGCCGCTCAGTTGATCCGACTCTCCACCCTCTGCCTGCTCAGCTCCGGCAGTGACCACCACCATCCTTCCAAGCCCCTCTCCCGCTCCACTCTTCCTGGGGAGCCTCCAAGACCCCTTTCTGTTACCTCCCAGGAGGCTGACCTCTTTCTCCCCAGCTGATGAAAGGAAGCCCGTCTTCTCCAACCTGAACCCCTGGAGGCTTCTGTTCCCTTGCTGTGTGCTGAGCCCAGTTCAGATTGCACTGCCTCCTCCCAGCCCCCGAGCAAGCCCCGCGGAGCCGCTGTGCTGTCCACTCTCTGACCCTCTCTCAGCACCCGCCATGGACAGTTTAGAACACACGCAAGGCCACACTAGCAGCTCCATGCTGCAGCCCCAGTGCCACGCCGTTCATTCACCCGGAGACCTCAACGGATTGGCTGAGTAAGAACTGGAAGTAGGTTCTAGATCTCCTGGCAGATTCTGAAATCCATGCATAATTTTTCATAATACGCATTTTCATAGACTTTTTGAAGACTCCTTGTGTGCATGAATTTCAGAATTTTTTTTTGTACCAAAATACATTTGTCTTTTGGTCCCATTTACCATGAACTTTTGGAAATATCCTTGTATCTTATGGGGTATCCTACGTGGCAGAGAAACCTCTGGGCCGGAGGCTGAGAGACTGCAGAGCCCTAACTGGTTTGTGTCAGCTCGCATCACACAACCCGAATGGTCTCTTCTTGTGTGAAGTGGGGCCACTGACACCCACCCTGCAGACTGAAGGGTGCAGGGCGTCAGTGATCCTACAAGGAATAACGGCTTCAGCAGCCCTGGAAAGTAATTGTCTTTTCCAGCACCTTCTGCACTCTGAGCTCAGTTTTGATGGCTGACACCAACAAGAAAACCTCTGACACTATGCCACTGGCCGCTGAGTCTGTTCACTCACTGAGCTGCAGGCAGGACAGAGGGAAAGGGCTCCAGGGAACCACAGGCGGGCTCTGGGAGGATTGGGAGAGTCCCTCCAGCATCTTTCTGGGGGCTGGCATCAGGCAGAGAGTGGAATGTTGAGGGCTTTCCCGGGGAATGAAAGAGCCCAGGCACTCCCTATTTGGATCTGTTTGTTTCCAATCAGGGCTTCACGACTTAATTCAATCATACAAGACCCTCTGGGGTGGGCACTATTATTTTCCCTATTTTGCTGATGGCAAACAGACCTGGGGCATTAAGTCACTGTCCTGTGAACACTAAAACCAGTCTCATTCTAAGCTGTGCCTCCCACTGCCATGTCTTCGAGCCTCCCAGGGGGCTAGCCTGCATGATTGAAGTGTGTGTCCACCAAGGGAATATCTGATTATGCATATTTAGTGCACATGAGTGTGTGTGGGGTGTGTGTGTGTGTGGCAAGTCCCAACCCTGCCAACAGTTAGCAATGACCGCGTCTTGGTGAGTGCAGCTTTGGGGAGCTGGGAGCCCCACTGTCGCTGTGCCTAGCCATAGCCCTTTAGCCAAACAGCAGGAGCCAGCCGGCACGTGCTCTCGGCCACAGAGCTCAGAGATTATCCTGGGCGGCTGCAGCTGGCCCCTGAGTTGCAGCCTTTGTGGGTGCTGGCTGGTGATGGGGCTCTGACTGTTCCAGAAATGATTAATACCCTGATCCTATCTGGACGGCTTTGGGAGACACCCCTCCGTGGACGGGGATGCTACTGGTTGATATAAAATGATCTATTTTTTTTCAATCTACTTCATGGTGGCAGTAATTCAGATGAGGAAATGTCTTTGCCTTCTACTGGAGCTTTATGCTGCTTCAAAAGAAAAAAAATCACAGAAAATCATGAAAATTTTTCTGAGAAGTTATTATGTTAGTAACTGGGGGTTCAGAAAATGAGACACTTTCTAAATTTCTGATATTGAACAAATAGCTTTCCCTCTCTCTGGAACAACAATGACAATAAAAAAGCACCAAAAGCCATGGAGCCCAAAGGGAACATACGAAAACCCAGCCAGGGAAGGTCTGCACAGTATCCAGTGTGTCCCTGACCTTCCTCCCAGAACAATTCTGGCCCTTGGTTCCCACTCTTTCTGCAGCCCATTCTGAAGGTATAGAATGCATCCCAGGAAGTCATAGCGCTGCCCCTCCCACATCTGCAGTGTTCCTGAATTGCTTTGTCCCTGGCTGGAACGAACCACGGCCCATGCAACCCTTTAGAAGGCAAAGATCTGCTGCCCCTGTGGGCTTCCCTGGGCTACACACGACAAGCTGAGGCCACAGACAATGGTGATATTTTAAGAGTTTGCTGAAGCTTCTGATTTTGCAGCCAGCAGAATTCTACCAAGGCTGAGCTACCTACCCATTTGCCAGCAGAAGAGTGTGATCTGATGTAAATGACCAGCATGGCACTGGTGGCTGTATTAGAAAGATGGGGAGAAGCATTTGTGGGGATTTGGTGACAGGAAAACTGTGAGCAGAGAACTAAGCATTTACTGCACAGCTTTGTGCAACATTATTTTTCAACCAGTTATACAGGTTATAAAAATACTAGTTACACATCGATTAAAAGTAAAATATGTACTTCTACAAGGCTTACACCAAACTCCCTTTTCACATTCCCCAGAGACCACATTTCTTTGGCAGCTCCTATTATTTACTCTGATGCATTTAAATAACCTGCTTATTCTGTTATTTCTGGATTTTCTCATTTTAGACACTACCCACTAACTTCCTACTATGGAACATGAGGAACTGACATTTTTTCCTTCCTCTTTATTCCCAAGGTAATTTGATTCCTTCCCCTCAACATGGCTGCAATGAATTTTTTTTTTAAATTATTTTTATGAAAAACAGAGATCTCCCGCCCACTAGTTCACTACCCAAATGCCCACAATGGCCAGGGCTGGGCCAGGCTGATGTCAGGAGGTGGGAACTAACCCAGGTCTTCTAAATGAGTGGCAGAATCCCAAGTACTTGAGCCATCACCTGTTGCCTCCCAGGGTGCACATTAACAGGAA